GGCCGCTTGCTGCAGAGAGATAAAAGTCTTGAGACAAAGTGTCAATATGTTAGCTAGCACCTTTGTTATGATTTTCATGAAAAAATTACATAAGCTGATAGGCTGAAACTGACTCAATTTTCCCAGGGCCTGCACTTTAGGGATAAGAATGATATTAGTGTGGTTTACACCTTCATGCAGCTGGCCAGTATGAAAAAAGCTACAAACCGCCTTGCAAACTGCAAGCCCGACCACAGGCCAATGCTTCTGATAAAATAGGTCCGGAAAGCCATCAAACCTTGGGGCTTTTAAAGGACCGAATTGAAAAGAAGCAAGCTTGACTTCATCATCCGCCACTGGTCTAAGAAGGGCCTCATTCATTGGTCGGGTGACCGACAGCTTCACCACTGCCAGAGCGTCCTCAAAATTTCTAGGGCCTTTTCCCTGAAAAAGTTGAGTGAAGTAGGAAGAATGATGATCATTAATAGCGTTGGCATTCTCTAACCAGGCCCCATTATCCATTTTGAGTTTGACCAACTGGTTTCGCTACCTGCGCTAAACAACCGAGGCATGAAAGAAGGCAGAATTACGATCCCCATAACTGAGCCCATTGATACGAGATCTCTGGTGTTGGAACATTTCTTCCCTAAGTAAAACCATCTCAATTTCATCTTGGACATGCCTGATTTGGGTGCCGTTATAATCTGAGTAGGGGAGCGACTGAAGATGATAAAGTCTGATTTTCAAAGTAGCCAACCGTACTCTATTGTTTCCAAAGGTTCGTTTACTCCAGCTGATAAGGCCTCTTTTACAGTTCTGGAGCCTAAGATAGACTTTAGAAATTGGAGGACCCGATTGGAACTGGGCCCACATTTCCTTAATAATTTCTTCACATTCAGGGTGTGTGGTCCACATAGATTCAAACTTGAACTGGTGAGGCACTCTCTTTGGAGGAATTTTACAGTGAAGAAGAAGAGGCAATGGTCCGAACCCAGAAATACCCCATGGTGAACTTGAGCATAGGGGAATAGGAGTCTCCACTTAACAGTTGCCAAAGCCTTGTCTAAGCGTTCCCTCACATTACATGTTCCTCTTTGATTGTTAATCCAGGTATAAGGGGTGCCTTTGTATTCAAGATCCATAAGTTCACAATCCGACAAGAGTCGATGATATTGTTCCATCCTTACACTGTTGCAAGCATTTCTACCTTGTTTCTTCCAGGACATCCTCGCTTCATTAAAGTCGCCAATACAAAGCCAAGGGTTCTTATTGTGTTGAGCAATGGCCTCCAAAACCTGCCAAAACGTTTTCCTTTCCGTCCATCTAGGGGACACACAAACAAAGGTGGCTAGCCGAGAGGAATTAACTAGAGCATCAAAAATCTAACATCTGAATAGATTTGCAGATTTAAAACTAACCTGAAGGTGGACCTCATTCAACCACCAAAGAGCTAAACCGCCAGAAAGACCCACTGGATCAACATAGCTTTTATTTGGATACCGAAGACGGCGTTTGAGAATTTCCATCTTTGATTGATTATTTTTTGTCTCCATAAGGAAAATTATTTGAGGGTGATGGGTTTGGCGCAACCCTTGGAGGATCCAGAATGTCAGAGGTCGCCCCATCCCCTGACAATTCCAGCTCAGGATTAACATGGACCTTGTGGCTGTTTAGGGCCAGCCACAACCGCCTCAACACACGATATCCCAGTCGGAGCAATGCAAGGAGGATGAGAATCAAAGAGGTTAGTTCCTGAAGCACACTAACTTACTGGCACTGCAATGAGAGCTGCACTATCTTTGCCATTTCCATCTTGTTGGATCTTAACTTCAACCTGAGTGTTCCGCTATAAACTCGGGTGCCTCGGCTCCGAGATGGGGCTGGAGTTTGTTTACTGGCAGCCAGTGGTCCATGGGAGTATAGATATGTTCCATCCACCAGAGAAGGTAAGGGATGATCAGAGATGAGGTACCAAAAGAGAGGGAGCATCATAGTGTAGCAACTTAGGGGGTCGAGATAGGGATTGAAGGTCGTCAGGGTCTTTCCTCTTGAGGGAGAGGGTCTTAATGGCTTTTGATAAGCATAGGTCCATAGCATAAGAAGGAGCCAAGGATTGTGGGAGAGGGATAAGGGTTTGGAGGGTGGGGTGGGAAGCTGGAAGGCCCAATAGAAATTTTTGTAGCTAATTATCCTTAGGAAAGATGTTGAAATAGTTAAAATCAAGCTCAATTGTGATAAGTGTAGAAAATATACTTGTTTTAGGTATATGATTGCTAGGGTTTTTTTCTGTATAAGGAATATAACTGTGACATATGCATATTTATAACCATTGTTGAATTTTTGATGGTTTCCATTCCTTTAATTTCTCTTTTGTTAATATTTTCCTTTGTCTACTTTTTGTTTTCCTTTTGTGTAGTTGTATTTTTAAAAGGAGAAATTGGAGTTCCAAAATCCTATGATTTGTTTCTTTTTCTTTGTTTTTTTTTCCCTAAAGAACTTACCATGTTGATTATTAGACTATTTAATGAAATTGGAAGAAAAATAATAGTAAATTGGAAAGAACCAATAGAATAATTACAAATGTATTTTTTGTATTTAAAAAATCAAAAATCATAGAAAAATGGATTAGAGTTTTGAGACTTAAAGAATCCATAATGTTTTTACTTATGTTAATAATAATAATAAACCATTTGAAATGTGTAAATAATACATTAAAATGTTGAATATTTATTAATTTTTGTTGTTTTTCTCAAATGACAGCCAACTAATATTACTCAACAAAATTTCAATCAAAATTTTGAAATGCATGTGATCGGAACATTTGATTGCGGAGCCTAAAAATAAAAAGAGCAAGCAATGTTAGAAATTTAAGAAAAGTTTGGCCTCGTTTGGGAATAGGCTAATTTAGGGATTGTTTTGGGTGTCTTAAATAAGTACACTTTTTATCTTTTTAAAATAAAAAATTGAAGGAAAAAATATGGATGTTTGGGTTAACTTTTTGACTTTTATAGAAAAATGTGTAATAAAAAATTATAAAAATTAGTTTATAGGGGAAAATTAAGATTGGGAGTTGTGCAGTCGTAATTGTTAACTTTTTGTGAATAATGTTAACTTTTTAACTTTTTGAGTAACTTTTTGACTTTTTTTACACTTCCCAAACTTGGCCTTAGTAATTTTTTAGCTATTTGGTTAAAATATAAGCTAAAAAAAACTAGTACGTTTAGGATGACTTTTTGACTTTTTACGAAAAGACGTGCAAAAATAGAAAGAAAAAAATATATATTTGACTTTTTTGTATGAGTTATTGACTTTTTAATTTTTTTAATAATTTTTTAATTTTTTAACTAAAAAAGTCACTTGTCAAACGAGTCGTAAATATCTTACACAATATTTGTGTAGATGTCAGATGCACACTGATAGGAGTATGGAATATAATTTTTAGGGGAATTACAATTTGCAGAGTAAGATCAAAAAAAAAAAAAAATTAACAAATCAAATTTTTATGGTCTCTTTTGATTGGTGGTGTAATTCATTTTGTGAAAATACTATGATCTCTTTTAACATGTAGGTTAAAAAAAAAAAATTTAAATTCCTTTAATCTTTCTTCTCCCATTTTAAGGTCACTACTCACCGCTTATCACCCGACTATCATCTTTGGTCATCGTCATCATCAACATGAATAACTTTTTTTGATAACTATTTTCAACCATCACACTGCCTCCGATAACTACTTCTAACCACCACTTCCTAGGGTATCAATCACCTTCGACCACTACCAACCACCTCTCACTAACATCAATTACTTTCCATCGTCACCTCTTGCTTAAAACTACATTTGGTCATCACATCTTGTTGAAAACTACATTCAACCACCACCTCTTGCCTGAAATGACCTTTGACTACCATTTTCGACAGTTGTCAATCACGTTCAGGCACTACTTTTAGTCGACAACCACCAAATACTTCAGCCACCACCTCTTGTCGAGGATCACTTTTGACCACCACCTTCAATAATTAATAACTATTTCTGGCCAACACTTTCAAACCATTTCTAGCCACCATCTCTAACTATTAATAACTATTTTTAACCACCACCTTTAAAACTTATGTTAAACAAGCTTATGAAATTACACACTTTTTATTACATTCACTTCGTACAAGATGCACAACCCTTGTGTTAACCAAATCTATTTGAGGAAGTGTTTCAAGGTGACAACGATATATACCAATTTATTAACAAAAAAAAAAAAAAAACATAGAACATGTGAACTTCAATTTTATAATGCAAAAGCAGTTCACATGGTTTGACTACAATTGAATGCACGATGGAAAGCGTCCATTGTCAAGTTTATGCAGTTGGGCCAACTTCAGGAGTACCCAAAATCAAACAATATCTTAAATTTCATTAAATGGGATCCATTATATAAATTCTTCTTTTTTATTTGACTTTTTCAAAAGTTATTTAGTTAGTCAAAATAAAAAGATTCATATCTCTATTTACTATACTACCCCACATCAATTTAAGTCTTCCTTCTGCTAACATTTCCATCTACCGTCAATATATCGTATCTTGTATATGACCAAATTATTTTAATCTATTCTCTTTTAGCATATCTTCTATCAGTACTACTCTTACTCATTCAACTCATTTCTAACTCTCATTTTTAGTCTTACCACGCATCCATTTTAGAGTTCAATGGTTAAGACCCATGAAGTCCAAGATAAGATAATACAAATCTGTTTCTTGATGCACTTTAAAAAAAAAAATTAAAAAAAAATAATAATGATTGATATTCACATAAATGGATTTATATCTATCCGAAACCCTTGCTATGGGGTAGTCCACATCAGGAAGAAGCAACAAGCAAGAGACAAGTCCAAGTGAAGAACTCAAAGATTACGTGCCCGGAATAGCATATGATCCTCTGTAATAATTGAACAAGGGTTTACTTCGCTGAAATTTCAATATAATACTAGAGTGCTATATAACATAACAGGAATAAAAGAGTACACAGTACACAGACGATGATAATACTTTTGAGACATGTATAACACAAATTAAGCATGTAGATACAGAGGAGTTTACACCCAAGTATAGAAAAGAAAAAAAAAAACACACAAAATTTAAGCAATTGAGCAATTCCTCGAGGATACTTTCGATATCAAAAATTTAATTGGCTAATCAATACATAAAATCACTAGGTTTTGGAGTTGCCATTTCCAGAAGAGGATAAGTTGCAAGGTTTGGCTAGGATGTACTAGTTATCCCAAAAGTTTCGTAGTTGTGACAAGTGCAAAAGAAGCTCGTCTCTGCCCAAACCAGTGTTACTACTGCTGGTCATGATCCATGCAGGATGTTCCCGGAAATTTTCTCTCATCAGCTCTAGAAAATTTTTGATGTTCTCATGAGGCCTTTTCCCTTACCCTTCATCTTGTCACATTTTGTGAAAACAAAAATCATTGGTATCTGAAAGATAAAGGCACAAAAAAGCATAAAAGTCGAGGGAAAGGACAAGATTTGGCCTCATACCATTGATAGTATTGCTGACAGAAAGAGGATCGGAAAGTAGCTAAAAATTAGATAAGAGCATATATTGTTCCGTCCAAAGCCAATTAGCACAGTCAAGGTCGATCTTCTGAGGTGGTACACTAGCATCAATTAGAAGTAGGACGACAACCAGAGTTTCTCTATTCAAGAAGTAGCCTTTGGTGAACGCGGACCAATCCATTCGAGCAGATTCTGGGGCATTAGCAATTCTGCAAACAAAGTGAAATCTAATCAGATTTGTTTGGAATAATCTAAATAAGTACACTTTTTGATTTTTTATAAAATATGGGTTGGGTTTGAATTGAGTTTGAAGTGATGTGTTAGAGAGGTGATGTGATTTAAATAAGATGATGTGACTTAAATAGAATAGCAACTTTTTAACATTTTGACTTTTTTCAAACAAGCCAAACTAGCCCTTAGAGCTAATTTGTACGGCATCAACTCAACTGCAAATATTCCATGATGCCACAAGGAATCAATAAGTTAATTGAGAGGTGTTAATGGCATAAACGGGTAAAACTAATTGCCCTTATCCGATCTTTACCCCCTCAAAACTTTAAATTTAAACCATTGCCACTAAACGGACTAAAAATTATTTTAATTGCTGACCTGCAGAATTTACTTAAGAAATCATACAAGATTACAAAAAAAAAATTACACAAAATGAAAGATCATAAGATCATCACGTTTACAACTTATTCACTACTAAACTTGACAGTCCAAATAATGTAACGGGGTGCTGGAGCATCAATTTTTGTGACAAAATAAATTAACTCTGTTCCATTGTAACCAGGGTATGACAGATTTCCAGAATATGAATAAAGGTTTCCTTTTTTCTATATTTAGAAATGGCAGAAAAAAAAAAAAAAAAAAAAAAAAAAAATTAGTCACATGATAAATGGTTACCGACCAGAACCCCAACAAAAGTGTTTGCACATTTACCCTGGGAAGGACTGCACTAAGTAGCAGAACTACTAAATTTAACTGCCAATAAGCCACGGGCATAAAACTGATCTCATCTTTTACAAAATGGATCCCTTTTTGACTGTACAAGACTAGAAAAACAAGCCAAACAGTCCATTTACATTTCCACTTGCAGATTGACCCATTAGATAACATCAGCATCCATAATAATGTTAGAATTCTTCGACATCAATATAGATGATAGATAGCCCAAAGAAGTAAACAAGGAGACGTGACCGTTACTGAAGGGGTTCAAGAAAATATATATTGATGAAAACACACCAACACCAGCATGTGACATATAATCAAGCTTGTTAAAATTGGGATCTTAGATAGGATTGTTGGGAAGGACTTGTGGATCGGATCATAAAATTGGACCGAGAATAGTAAGATTTTACTTTTAATGTAAAAAAAAATAAAAATTTTAAAATCATTAAAGAAAAATGATTAATTTGATATAATGGATCTGTTATGTTATCATAAATTAGAAGAGATGTTTGTAGAAAGAATTTATAGTCAAATTTCTTATATAAATATACACACATACATACATATATAAGAAGTAAATAATAAGAATTGTTTTGTGGTAGGATCGGGATTATAGTAGAATTGGGATCTTAGTACGATACACGATTTTATGACCAGATCGTAGTCATTTTAAGATCATACTAAATGAAGCTTGGATCTAGGCATGTCGTTAGGCATCCAAGCGAACACTTCCAAGTTAGCAACTAAAAAATCCACAATTTCCTGCCAGCAAAAAGAACTTGCTTGGGTCGTCGTCGTCAATCCGAACCTCCACCAGATCTTCTACAGCTTTCTCCTCGGCCCGCTTTCTGATATCATCTAGGACTTCTTGATCTTCTTTCCTTTCCACCATTTGGACAAAGCCTTTGGCAGCACGCCTGCCGTTTATTGATACGAAGTATTGCTTGGACATCACTTGGTCTCCCTAAATTTCTTCAATTACACCTACAACAGAAGGGAAGTGCATTACCTGGTGGTAGGTTAACACCACCGCTTTCATGGCGTGTAACCATCCTCGCCCCAAGATCAAGTTGTAGATGGAAGGCACCTTCAACACCCAAAACCTGACTTGTTTGATAACTAAGCCTGCTTTCACCAGCAATATGATCTTGCCCAAAGGCCATTCCAGCTATGAATTACCAAGGAAGAAGTTGTTGGCGCTAAGTCTTTGTCTTCTAGCTTTAACTGTTTAAAAGCATCATAATACATGATCTCGACTGAACTACCTTGGTCGATCAAAATCCTCCTGATATCTAAGTCCCTGACGTGCAAAGTGATGACTAGCGCATCATTGAGAGGAGTTTGGATTCTCCTAAGATCCTTGCTCGAGAAAGTCATGATGTCATTCACCTTAGCTCTTCCCTTTTTGGCCGCAAGTTGAACGAACAAAACTTCTCTTATGTGTTCTGCTTTTTTAATTATCCCTCTGAGCTCGCATACTTGCGTTGGCTCAACAATGCCATAAATCACATTAATGACTCCCTGGGGTGGGGTGTCCATGGCAACTAAGCTATTAGGCTCGGCTTGCCATTAAGGTACTGCCCTTGCTTCTCCATCAATGTACTTATCAAGATACCCCGCGACAACCAATTCTTCTAATTGTTACTTTATAAGCCCGCAATCTTCTATGCGATGCCCCTTCGTTGTGGTAGGTACAGTAGTACCTCAAATTGAACCTCCGCTAAGAACTACCTAGGCGAGTTGGCTATTGGACGTATGCCTCATCACAGATTTCACTCAAAATGCAGTAGATTGGTATTTTGAAGACCATGGTGATGCCAGTTTGGGCCTTTAATCTCCGCTTTGCCTCTTCCTCTTTGTCTTGAGGGTTGTCAGTTCAATTATTGCAACGGCTTTTGTCATGGTTGGGACCATGACTCCGTTCCCTCTTGCAGTTGTCTAAACGATTTTCCTCCTGTTTGACAGTATAAACTTTCCCTGTAGGTTTTTTGTTCACTATTACCGAATTTGTCTAGTAGCTATGGTCACGTCATCCTTAACCCTTATATGCTCATTTATCCTTTGTATCAATAGTTCCAACGTTGGAGGTTGAGTCATCATAAGTGGATCCCTCAGTTTATGTCCAATTGGTAGACCCCGTCTATACTGAGCGATAGCTAGGTTGGTTGGGCAATCATGGATCTCATTGAAGCCTCCCAGTGCCTAGCGTTGTACGCCTTCAATGCTTCTCCCTGTTCCATGCTCACCTATAGAAGATGGTCAATCTCCTTTAGTGCCATTGTATGTGCCTCAAATCTGGTGACAAATGCTCCAGCCAACTACTGCCAACTATGAATGCTCCCAACTGGCAATCCTTCGAATCATTTGAGGCCTAGCTCACCCAAACTTGATGGGAATAACATGCACATCAGGGTGTCGTTACGCCTATGAACAACCATGACATAGCGAAAATGATTTACGTGTAAGTAAGGGTCAGTCCTTCCATCATAAAAGTTGAACTTGGGCTGGTGGAAGATTAAGGAGAGTGGCGCGTTCTCAATTTCTAGAGAGAAAGGGGTGGCGTTCAGCCTTGCCAAGTCCCTATCTGCAAGTGTGTGTGCGACGGCGCGTGGTGGCAATATAATGGCTGTTATGCTCTCATGGGATCTTGGCTCTAACCTCTGTAATGCCGGCATCCTTGGGTCTCCCTCTGTTTTGCTCTCTGCTCCAGGACATCTCTTAGGTCCTCGAACGAGCAGAGTAGGAGTACCTAGATGTTGTAATAGAATGCAATGGGTGATAGCTACTACCCTCAGTATAAGACCTCTTCGTCAGTGATGAAGAGTTATCCTGAAACTTTTACTTATAGAGAGCGCATGTGCTTCTCTACTCCTCCAATCATCTGAATGATGGGATTGAGCGCACTTACTGTTGTTTTCCACTCCAGCTATGCTCATTCTCTTTAACTGCAGCTTCATCTTCATCTATGCTACTATCTTTTAAATAATGGCATCTTAGCTTTTCAATCTATTCTCCAAGTGATGAGTGTGCGACTCTTTATGCCATCATCGCACTTTAGAGCCCATTGAGCGTTCTGGGCTCCTTGTGCATTTATCTTGCACTTCGCTGGTCAATCCGCCTATAGGAGTGTCCAGATTTGCCATTGTTGGCACGGAGGGCAAGTCATCTCACCTCGTAACATATTCTAGTGTTAAACCGTCGATGATTGACATCTGAAGGTCATCGTTGTTCACCATCTAAGTCGACCAAAGAATCCTGGAGAACAAGGTTTTGTTTGTCAAGAAGTTTCCACAAATGAAACCAATTTACGATGAGTAAATATTCTTCACTACCGTACTCCTTGCCTTTGGATTCGGCTCACTCCAAACGACGTCATTTCTCTTGAAAACACAATTGATGTGAGCTAACTGGCAGGTTTCTTGTCGGAAAACCCCTCCGACGGTCAAGTCAACACCCTCAGATAATATTGGAGAATGAGAGAGTTCTTTTGCTCAAGATTGCTTACCATTTAGAATGGGCTCGTAGGTCTTATATGGACAACTTGTCTCACTTCTCCATGTAGTGCGCATTATTCCCATTGTCTTGGTACAAGAACATTATGTTCTCTTATTCTCTTACACGCATGTACCTGTCAGAAGTAAAGAATCTGACGAACAACACTAACTTGGACAAGTCACTGTTTGTCCCTTACCAACTGTTGGGGCATGAGTAGCACCTAATCAAGCCATCCTTGATCGAGGTAGCAATAATCTGTTTAAGTCCGTGGCTATCGCCTATAAGTACTATGCCATGCTGCCATCCAGAGCTCAACTAAGCTATCAGCTCAGTTGGAAACATGCAAGTGATCTCTGCCCTTGCCCTCCATCAAGGGCACAATTCTGCTCGGTTTAACACAGATCAGAAGATTTAGCTCGGTTAATACAGAGGGAGCTTGGTCAGCTCTGTTAGGCAGACTCAAGTCCATCTTCAGCTTGGCCTAGCTAACCACAAAGTAGTGAGCTTAGCTTGACCCATGGCATGGATACACTACAACAAAAAACAGATTCGGCGACTAATTTTGCTGACTAAACTAAATTTAGTCGCCAAAGGGTTACGTATTAGCTACTAAAAATTAGTTGGTCGCCAATGGTTCACACATTAGCTACTAAAGTTTGTTGGTTGGTAAATGTCCTCTATTTCGCTACCAAAATAATGTGTAGTCAGAATTTGTCTTCACTTTTGGCGACTAACTACGTTTTAGTCGTTAAAAATATAATTT